TATTAAACGTGCTGAACTGTGAATGTGGGTTTGCCATGGTAACTATAGGGCCCGACGGGGGGAGAGCTCACGTTATGTGAAATAAACAGTGTTTGTATCATTTGAACCACAAAACAGACTTTGATAAATCTCTTAAAGCAATCGTTGGACAAACATCAACGACTCTTTAATTGTTCGYCAACTTCATCCAAGATGGCCGCCACAGCCAAGCAAACTCTTGAAACATAAAAATGCTTGYAACTCAGTCAATTTAGCAGATATTSAGGTGAAACTTGGTGTGGTGGTAGCTGAGAATCCTCCTCAACRTATACTTTAAGCACTACCTGATTGCCAACTGTCTGTTAGCTTAATATCTCATTAACCTCTGGATGGATTTTAGTGAAACTCTCAAAGTAATCACACCCATAGCTCATTAACTTTAAAGTGTCTGYGACAAGAAATCTTTGTGATAAATATGAATTCATTTTTGGARAGATAACATTGGTGGCCTGTTGCGTCATTAATTTCACGCCGCTGAGATGAACAGTTGAGATATTTGCATGTGAAGAAACAGGAAGTGATGTCAAAGGGGAACGTCTGCATGTAAACAGTGTTGCTACAACAGACAACACAGGCTGGAGAGAAGAATTTGATGTTTCTTTAAATTATTTTGAGTCACTATCAGAGAGATGAAGAAGAGTCAGATTTTAAATAATATTGTTTCAATAAACAAAGACCATTAATTTTCTTGAAGAATYCCCCTTTGATGTCACTTCCTGTTTCACTTTGTTTGAGCCAAGTTAAAAAGTATATGACAGTTATGTGACAAAATGGGTAAAATTGTGTGTATTATGCCAAGTTTACATGGTTACTTTGACTTTTTATGTTTGAAGTTTCTATAAATTTAGTGTCATCTCAATCCAAAATGGCCGTGATAGATAATCACCCTTGACCAACACTAAATGGTTATAACTCAGTCAATTTTGCAGACATTGAGCTGAACTTTGCAGTGGTGGTACTTTGGAGTCTTCCCCAACTCGTACTCTGAGCACTAACATCACATGAGATCAAACATTTGTAAAGTTTGACCAAAACAGCTACAACTCAGGCCTCATCATGAGCGGATTTTATTAAAAACTTTAGCACAAAAAAAAAGAGGTGGGGGATATGCATTCCTATAGGATTTGTTTCCCAGTTCACTGCTAATGTCTCTAAATTTTACTGAGCAGGTTCTGCCAGGATACATGGGTGGCRAGACATTTTCTGTCCTGAGTGAAGGTGGGGATTGGGTTGTGACATTTAGGACATGACAATTAAAATAAACATTAATGGGTGGGAGCTCTCGTTTTGCCCACACCTCCATGTCAGCGCGGCGGACCGAACCCGTCCAGGAGTATAATCAGAGCAGTCATAACAGTCAGAAACACCTGTGATGTGGAATAAATAAAGTTCAACGCCTTGCTCGGTTTGTACTTTCACTCCGTCACACATAAAGGTGTCGAAACGTTTCACAGAAATATTATGACACTTGAGGAATTATAACATGCTGTTTTTGCTTTCTTTTCCAAAGTTGGAGTGTGATGTGAACTTTTTTTTTTAAAATAGTGGGGCTAAATCCCCCTTTTTGCTTAGTTTAACACAGCTGAGAAATGTGGAAATAATTCGAAAAAAAAAATGCTCATTTCTGCACAAACGTGCCAAAAAAAGGTAGTGTCACACATGCGCCGCAGCCCTGACGTTTTCTACATGTTTTTTTCTACGACTGTTTGAGAGAAGGCAAACATCTGCAGAGAACARACCTTTTACTGTTCCAGGTCAGCGATATCAGGAGGAGAAAATGCAGAGATTAAATCTCGTGTGAACAAGTTGTTTGTCAGTAAAAGCAGTCAAAGCAACACGGAAACAAACTCCGTTCTGCACAAGTTTAATCAACGATATCGGATGTAATGAAACACAGAGCAGGTTTGCATGGAGTTCCTGCTCTCTGCTGCAGCTGTGCTGAAAAGTATTTCCAGTTGTGAGAATAAGAACCAGCAGGTGTGAAGGAGCGCCATCGTACAACACGTGAGCCAAAATCTGTTTTCCACCACCTCCAAGTGACTCTAATAAAATCTCTTTAGCAGCTGTATTTTATTGTTTTTACTCTACTTTTATGTTTCAGCTCATCTTCTGCTAGTGTTTTTCTCATTTTAGCTTTTAGTTCTGCTTCTATTAGCTTTGGCTGCTTTCAGCCTTTTCGGCAGATTCCAGCAAAGTCATTCATCTTTCAGAGTTCACACTGTAGCAGAAAATATTACTTTTTTTCCATTTTCTTTTATTTTAGAGGCAGCTTTGCTTGTTTTTTAGAAGCTAGATGCTCCGTCTTCAAGATGCTGAAATCATCAGCATCCATCTGAAACCTCCATCTGTGACCCTCTCCAGCTCCTCTTGGGCGACCCAGTCTGCCTAAGTGTCTTCTCTCAGTGATGTCCCTGGAATGCCTCCAGTGTCCAGGAGACATCSTGGTCAGATGGTTGAACCACCTTGTTTGAGCTCCCCCATGTGATGGAGCTCCTCATCCTGTCTCTGAGGCTGAGCCTGGCCACCTGCAGATYAACTCCAATCACTCTATGAGCTGTCCGAATGACATAAAAATCTGTCTGAAACTGAACTTCCTGAATCTAAATGAACGTACGACAGAAGTCAGCAGCTTTAAAGACATTTCTGCTGACAATCTTGGTCCTCTGGCTTCATACAGCTGCTCTGCTGTCAGAAATGTGGGTTTCATTTTTGATAATGCGATCAAATTGGACAGACAGATAAACTCAGTTGTGAAATCAAGTTTTTTCCAACTAAGACTTGTTGCTAAAGTGAAGCCATACCTCCCAAACAAAGACCTGGAAAAAGTGATTCATGCTCTCATTATCTCTCCTTTGGATCATTGTAATTATTCTTTGTATTTTAAGTTGTCCWGAACGCAGCAGCTCATCTTTTAACAGGAACTAAAAACACATATCTCCGGTTCTGGCTTCTCTCTATTAGCTTCCTGTTCATTTTAGGATAAATTTTAAGATTTAATGCTTACTTTTAAAGCTTTAAAGGATCATGGCCCCATGATCTCATTAACATCAACACTTAGAGCACTTCGGTCCAACCAGTWCCTCTTAGATGTTCCCAGATAGGCTAAAGTTTAGAGGTGATAGAGCCTTTGCAGTTTCTGCCCCAAACCTTTGAATGATTTACCTCTTAGCATTCGGACCGCTGAGAATGTTGAGACTTTTAAAACTCTGCTTAAAACTCATTTTTACTCCCTGGCTTTCATTCTGGTAGAGTCTGAGATTCTTTTAAAGCCAATGTTTCCTGTATTCTATATCACATAGATCTTATTTTTATTGTTTTTTATTATTTTTTGTGTTGCTTTGTTGTTTTTAATAATTTGGATGACTTGTGAAGCACTTTGGTCAACTCTTGTTGTTTTTATGTACTATATAAATAAATTGACATTGATGAAACAGTGTCTGCACACTGCTGAGCATCTGTCCAATGAAATAATCTTTCTTGCATCCTTCTCCTGTGGACAGACGTCCTCTCTAAGCTGTAATAATCTGGATGAGCTTTAAAAGTCCCGTGCTGTCACTTCTTCCCTTTCTTTTTCTTGTTGTCCGGCAAAACTGATTAAAGAAAAAAAAAACAGTTTAATTAGAAGCCTGGCTTCATTAGGTTTTCTAAACTTGGGACTCTGAAGCGATGAGGACTTTCCAAAGAGCTGTCAGTTCAGCAGGCCAGCAGGTACTGGGAACAGACTCGCACAAACACACGGCTCGGTGGGAACAACATTACGCAAGGCTCAAGCTTCCATGAGACGAGCCATAATTTCAAAGCATCATTTGCAACCATGAGGAGGCAAATCTGACTCATATGTGACCGTCACATTAAAAAAAMCCAACAGTCCATCTGTCAACCAGCAGCGATGTTCCACCTGAGCATTTCAACAGGTCATCAGTGTGTTTACATCTGTTTCCATCATCTTTGCACTGGTGTCCTAACAGATTTACACCAACAGTTATAATGCGAGCTGTCAGCTTCTTTTGCAAAAGATCAACTTTGGTTGGTGAGAAGCAAAATACAGTGGCTGCCAAGCCGGTGCACTCAACTACAACTTACTGGACTGTTTGCAATAAGTTGAAACTTTTCCTCACACCGCCAGAGGTGACAAAACACCTAAATGTGTCCCGCATTCTCTGCTTATTTAACAGCTTTTCATGAGCTTATTTATTTATGTTTTCATGGAAAAGAAAGCCAAMGTCCAAAAGAAACTCAACGTAACTCCTTTAAAAAAAACTACTGATTAGACCTGTTTTTAAAAAGTTTAAACTAAAGGTCAAGACTTTGTTRTAAGTTTGTCATATTTCCATTTCTGAAGTCCTGTCCAAACCCATTAGTGTCAGAGGTGTTGYGATTGCAGAATGTTCTGGATGTTATGTGTTTATTTACTTTTTAATCAATTTCTAACAATTAAATAAATTATTTTGAGCAATTTGGTTGCATCCTAGAGAGCCTGAATTATGAAGCCTGGGAGTTATTTTAGAATTTGTAACCAGTTRAATGCTTCAGGAATTTCTTTCTTGTCACTAAAAATTATTTCACTGAGGTCAGTGTATTTAAATTACAGTATCATTTTGACATTCCAACTAGCAGTCTGTATTATATTAATTATAATTATATATAATTATATAATTATAAATATATGTAATTTTCTCATATTTTGATCAGTAGAGGAAAATATCTGCTTTTTCTCATGTTTTCCCCTTCTTTGCTTAGTGAAGTACAGCATTTATTTGTTCAAATGTGCTGTGCAGCAAATCTCGCATCCAATAAAGTTTTCTTGAATTGTTTGAACTTTTAGAACGAGAGCTGCAAGGCGTTTGCTTCCTGCCACAGATCTTCACAACAGCYTGGCTTCGTGCGCACTTGCAAATACAGTGGGCGCGTCCCATCCCGATTCTTTATAACTTTACGACTCAAATACAAAGGGGGCGTGTTCATTGAAAGGCTGCCCTTTCACATCAGCAGCTACAKTCTTCGCTCACTTGTACCACCATGGCTGCTACACCGAATTGTCCACGTTTTTTATTCTGCTTTTTGTACATGTCGTTACTGTTTGCGGGTGTGTTTTGCGACGATGATGCAGAAGAAGATGACCATGCCAAGCACACATACACAGTAGAGATGTTTAACGAGGCGGTGCCCACTGCACCCCACTTTGTCATGTTTTACGCACCTTGGTAAGTAAAAAAAAAAAAAAAAAAAAAAAAAAAAAAAAAAAAGAACTTTTTTAAACGACATTAAGTAAATTGATCTACAAAAATATTTGTTTGTCTTCAATAATCTTTATATGCGCAGAATACTAAAAAATACCTCTTGTTTAATCGGTAAAAGCGTTTACCGGCACATTCGCTAGTTAGCATCTAAGCTAGTTAGCTTCTTAGCTCATGGCTTTTAATTCAAGCGGCGCTATTAGCATAGCGGCTAATTAGCACAGCCAAGCAGCAGTTAATCGAGTTGAAACTACGCTTTTTTCTTTGCTCTAAGTTAGAGCAAAGAAAAAACGTAAACTCTTCAAGTAGTGGTTGCAATATTAAAGTGACGGAACATGGTTGTTATTATTTTTAACCTCGGAAGAGAATGATTTAAAGTTGCACACCGAGAGGCTGAAGCTTACGTGGCACGCACTGATTGACCCAAGTAATGGTTTCAACATGAGGTTCACGGTCCCCCCAGGGGTCCACGGACATTTCAAGCTGCAGATTATTTATTTATTTGTTTGTTTACTTTGTAGTATCACAGTCATTTGTTTATTACAGGTTCTGTTGAATTATGCAATGTATTGTAAACCTTAATACTGTATTTTTAGTATTAAAAAAAAGGTAGTCATGCTCAAATATGATTGTATTAAAATAAAAACAGATATTCTAGGAAAAAATCTTTTATAATTAAGATTGGTACAGATTACTCTCCAATAGCCGAATATTATGTTGCGACTTTTGTTTTTGAGGCCATAAGCACTTTTTAGAAACTCCTGAGATGTTAGTCAACTAATTGCTTTTAGAAGTAGAAGTTGTAAAATTATTTTAAAATTTGATGTCTCACCTGAAGTAGATGGCAGTCTGCAAACTCAGTTTAAATCATCAGAGAGGATTTATGACGTCCAACAAATGTATTGATGCTCAGAAAATGAGATGAAACRATAAGTTAAAAGAATACGTGTCAGGCTCCATTGGTTCCAGACCTGAAGTGCGGTTACCTGCCAGGTATTCTCAGCTAAGACCAGTTGGTTTTTGCATCATTTTTGCATCAGAGTAATAAGTAAGCAAGTGTTGCATCTCAGACGGCTGTTCACATAACACCATGCAAAACAGTTTCTGCAGAACGGGTTCATTTACTGCTGCTACCTACAACAAAAGGGWTGTTTGTTAAGATAAAGCAAAGTTCTATGACGTGTTTGACATGGCTGATAACAGTTTACTGTAGGTGAGATATTTACCTATTAATTAACACGTTGTTTGATTTAGCACTCTGTTAGTGAATTAGCAGAATCGGTCCTCACGGTTAGTTTAGTGATGTTAATCTAAGAAATAAAGACACACACCTGTGTTCTGTAATATTTCATGAAACAATCTTCAGCTGTGTTCACACTGCTGCAGGTCTACACTCACCAGCCACTTTATTAGGTACACCACGCTAGTAATGGGTTGGACCCCCTTTTGCCTTCAGAACTGCCTCAATTC